GGCGCGTCAAAACCAAATACATTTGGTAGTGGGTTTGCGCAAACTTCACAACCCACAGGATTTGGATTCGGGCAACAGCCACAAGCTACTAGCACCGGATTTGGATTTGGACAACCTGCTACCACACCGCAAACTGGTTTTGGCCTCGGCGCGTCAAAACCAAATACATTTGGTAGTGGGTTTGCGCAAACTTCACAACCCACAGGATTTGGATTCGGGCAACAACAACAATCTACTACTACCGGATTTGGATTCGGTCAAACGTCACAACCTACTGGCGGCTTTGGTTTTGGACAATCAAAACCTGGTGGATTTGGCGGATTCGGACAAACCACACAACCTACGGGATTTGGATTCGGACAGACAACACAGCAAACAGGATTTGGCGGATTTGGTCAAACATCTCAACCCACGCAACCTACAGGATTTGGATTCGGGCAGGCGACACAACCAACTGGATTTGGATTCGGTCAAACAACACAACCAACAGCCGGATTTGGTGGTTTTGGACAAACGTCACAACCCACAGGATTTGGATTCGGTCAAACATCACAACCAGCAGCCGGATTTGGTGGTTTTGGACAAACGTCACAACCCACAGGATTTGGATTCGGCCAAACATCACAACCAACAGCCGGATTTGGTGGTTTTGGACAATCTAAACCTAGTGGATTTGGATTCGGACAGACATCACAACAAACAGGATTTGGATTCGGGCAACAACAACAATCTACTACTGCCGGTTTTGGATTTGGTCAAACGTCACAACCTACTGGTGGCTTTGGTTTTGGACAGTCAAAACCTGGTGGATTTGGTGGATTTGGACAGACAACACAACCTACTGGATTTGGATTTGGTCAAACAACCCAATCTACTGGTGGCTTTGGATTCGGTCAAGCGACACAACCTACTGGTGGTTTTGGTTTTGGAGCTTCAAAACCTAGTGGATTTGGATTTGGTCAAACAACACAACCAAGCGGGTTTGGATTCGGACAGACATCACAACCTGGTGGTGGCTTTGGATTTGGACAGACTTCGCAGCAGAGTGGCTTTGGCTTTGGACAGTCGTCGCAACCTAGTTTGTTTAATTTCGGTCAGGCCTCACAATCAACAATGCCTCAGTTAAATCTTGGCGGCTTTGGATTGTCAACTCAGCCTGGTGCTTCAATTGGTATGTTATATCTTTAATAAATTTTTATATTCTTTACTTTGTTTATGATATTTATTTTTAAATCAATTCTTAATGTGCTAGTTGGTGTAGGTGCTGGTCCTTTACAAAATAGTTTATTCACAACAAAGCCAAGCAAGTATTTTATTATTTCGCATAATTTATGCATATGGGGCTTTGTCAATAGAAACGCACCATCTTACTTAATATTTTGATTTATTAAATGGTGCTTTTCTATTGACGAAGCCCCATATTTGAGTATATCGCTATCTTGTTCTGGGTGATGTTTAATTGATAAATGATCTGCAGTAGCAACTTTTTTATAATTGTAAGTTAAACCGATAATAATTCTTAATTATTCATGTCTTATCAGCTCAACAGCAATTACAACAACATCGTACACCTGTGCAAGAACTACATGAATTAATGAATTCTTGGAATACATACAGCCCTCAATGTCAATTTATTGTAAGTATACCTATTTGAAGCTATTTTTATATTATGCAAATAACTTATAATCACTGATATGATTTCTGGTAGACTTATTTCTTTAATCTCGCAAATCCCGGTTCAGCGCAATATTTCCAACCACAACAACAACAACGCTGGACACAAGAACTTTGGGAGGAAGCACAAAAGCATAACTTGGATAAAACGATGTAGGTTATTAACGTTCATCATGTTAATTATAATGAAAACAAACTCAGATCATCATAATCTAACGTTTTAACCATTATTAGAATGATGCCAATTGTAGCTGTTGGATTCGACGACTTAAAAAAAAGAATTATTGATCATTTAAATAGTAAAAACGATATTTCTGCAAGATTAAAGGTAAATTTTAAATTTAATATTATCTACTCTCTTTGTCAAGATTTTATAACATACTTAAGCATTGTAGGATATCGGAAATAAAATCGAGTCATTGCAAATTAAACATAATCTAGAAACTTCAGTGAATTTGGAAAATCAAAAACGGAAACATATGGAATTAACGCAACGAGTTATTAAGGTATGTTAATATTAATTTTTAATAAAATGTTCAATAAGTTTAATGATTTAAATTTATAATTCGTTTCAAATCATAGCTGATGAAACGAATCCAAGTAGTACGTCTCAGGGGAACTTTGATCCGTTCAGGCGAAGAACAACTTAAAGGTCGTTTAGAGGAAATCAAACAAAGTTTGTTAGTACCGATGGTTAAACTTGATGACATTAAGACAAAATATAGTATATTGAAATTACACTGGGATAATCGAGAACCATTAGTAGCTCATAAATATAACACTGTTGATGATAATCAATTAGAAAATATTGTAAAGGTATGTTTGTCATATATTATTAGATTTGTTGAATGAGGACAACCCTAATTATATTTTCCACTTACAACCTATTTTTTTTAGGTTCTCGGTGCTGAACAGACAGGAATAGTACACGATATTGATACATTAAAGAAGGATTCAAAAGATATTGATGTGATCATCAAAAACCTTAATGAAATCGTCAAACTGTAGGAAAAAACGGGCATGATTTATTTTTTTGATATATATTTTTTTTTAAAAAACAAAACAGTTGATGTTATTTTTGCACTCTCGATTATACACATTTCGAAATGACATTAAAATATTGGGGAGAATCATGTATATACAGTATAATTACAAATTTTTCAATCAGTCAAATGTAAATGAAAGTTAAGGTTGATACACATTAATATGATAAACAATAAACAATAAATATAAAATAAATTAATTCAAAAAAA